TTGTAGAACTATAGGAAAATGCCAACAAGTCTGCTGGAACTAGCTGTTAAAGAGTACTTCACTCTTGTGGTGCGGTGCCAGCGCGCGGGTTTAATTGTTATTTGAAAATGCCAACAAGTCTGTTGGAACTGTCTGTTAAAGAGTACTTTACTCTTGTGATGCGGTGCCAGCGCGTGAATTTAATTGTTATTAAAAAGTACTTAAAGAGCAGAACTCTGAACGAAATCTATAAAAATTGTCGAAACTATTGTAGAACTATAGGAAAATGCCAACAAGTCTGCTGGAACTAGCTGTTAAAGAGTACTTCACTCTTGTGGTGCGGTGCCAGCGCGCGGGTTTAATTGTTATTAAAAAGTACTTAAAGGGCAGAACTCTGAACGAAATCTATAAAAATCGTCGGAACTATTGTAGAACTATAGGAAAATGCCAACAAACCTGCTGGAACTGGCTGGTATTTTTTTTAGCTAAATCAACGGAACTATTTATAAAACCTATCAGAAACTATAGAACTATTGCGGGTGCCAATGGAACTCTTATCAAAACTTGCGGTGCCAAAAGATGAGGTGCCACTCACACACTGAACTTCACACACATTACTTTCTTTAATTTATAATATATATAGATATATATTATTTTTACAGCTTGATGACTTGCAAAGAGAACTTGAAGAAACGCGTGAATTAGCTAATAATAGATTACAAGAATTAGACAAACTTGATCAGCAACATCGTGAAACTTTAAAAGAAGTAGAAAAATTGAAAATGGACGTAAGTAAACAATTTTGTTTCCTAAATTTTATTTATATGATAATATTCTAATTTAATTAACTTTGCTGTTACCAAATAGCTAAATTTTAGCATTTTTTGTAGATAAGACAACTTCCTGAATCAGTAATTGTGGAAACAACAGAGTATAAATGTTTACAATCGCAATTTTCCGTATTATATAATGAGTCTATGCAATTGAAAACACAATTGGATGATGCTCGTCAACAATTACAATCGAGCAAAAATGCACATTTACGCCACATTGAGATGATGGAGGTAAGACCTGCATATATCCAAAAATTGTGCTTACGAGCATGACATTTTTATTTAAAATCTTTTTATAGAGTGAAGAATTAATGGCTCAAAAAAAATTGCGCGGCGAGTGTATACAACTCGAAGACGTCTTAGCACAATTACGCAAGGAATACGAAATGCTTCGCATTGAATTTGAACAGAATCTAGCTGCCAATGAACAGACAGGTCCGATCAATCGAGAAATGCGGCACCTAATTACCTCTCTTCAGAATCACAATCAGCAATTGAAAGGAGAAGTGCATCGGTACAAGCGAAAATATAAAGAAACTTCTACTGAAATACCTCGAGTATGTACACATAAACATATATGACTTTCTAATTAGTTTTTTATTTTTCATTTTACAAAATTTATTAATTTTTTTGTGAGTGCCAACTTTGATTTATATAATATCTATGTATTAATTTATTATCTTGAAATTGTCAGATTACAATTTTTCTTACCTTCTTTTATAACTTTTTCTTCTTTTTTCTTTTAAAACTTTTAAACTTTGCAATCAAAATGTATTCTTTGAATATATTCGTCCCTAACTGGGACATAATACAATGTTTCTTTTCAATGTTTCTTTTCAAAACTTTTCAAGTTCTTTCGACTTTTTAATTCTTTAATCAATCTTTTATAAATCAAGTCATATACATATTTGTGGAATAAAAATCAAGATTAAACCCGAGACCTATCCATTACAAATCAATCCACTACAAATCGCTCTCTACACATTAATAACAGAATAAAATATAATATTATATAAATCATTACTCGATATATATTATTTAATTGTAATAAAAGTAGGTAACAGTTTATTTTTATCAAATTTTTTCAGTTAAAGAAGGAAGTAGAGGAATTGACAACTAAATTAGGGCAACAAACGTCGCAAGAAAATAAAGAAGGGAATAATTCAGATGGTAGCGGAAAAGAAGAAGATGCTTCAAATTCGTTGCCAGGATCTACACAAGTATAATGATATAAATGTATAAATTTAAATCAAGAGATAGCGATGTACTTTTTTTTATACAATTATATTAATTTGATGCATTTGTTTGTATATATGTAGTCCAGAATTATTTTTTTCTTGCAAAAAAATTAATAGATTGGACTATTAATTAAAAAAATGAGATTTTATTTACTATTTGTTAACTTTTTATATACACATACAGATAAAAGAAGAAAGTGGTGTTACTATAAAGAGGGAATCTGGTGCTGATGAAGAGGTAGAAACAATTGAAGTTGGAGAAGGTGAAGGCAACAAAAATACACCAGACTCTCTAACGTTAACTTCGCCAACTCTAAAAAAGGAGAAGGATATAAAACGTGAGAAGGATATCAAGAAAGAATCTGTGAAAACTGAACATCGGGATCCTGCACATCGCACCAAAGACGCAAAAATGGCAGAATCGGAACTCGTGAGAGATTTGAAGGCACAACTTAAGTATGTTTGTGAAGATATCTAGTGTTTTCAACTAAACTACTGATATTTTTATTGTGACGAGTTTTAGAAAATAAATAAATATTTGATTATAGAAAAGCTGTGAATGAGATGAAAGAAATGAAGCTTTTATTAGACATGTACAAAGGTGTTGGAAAAGAGCAGCGAGATAAAGTACAGTTAATGGCTGCAGAGCGTAAAACGAGAGCAGAGTTGGAGGATTTACGACAACAAGTCAAAAAAATTCAAGTGTGTTGTAATATATTTTATAATTACTACAATTACTGTATGATTAGTAATGTACATGATAAATCAATGAAATAAGCACACATGTATATATATTTGATCACCTATTTACAACTTCTTTGTTCATATTTAGAAGAAAATAATTAGTTTGTATAAGGATTGAAATATTTTAATATTCTCTCTTTAATATTAATAATATAATGTAAATACTTATTTTTATTGATTTATACTAACTTAGTGAGGGGATTACTTTTGTTTGGATGAATTTTATTGTGTTCTTGTAGGAAAGTAAACGTGAGGAACGTAAGAAGTTAGCTGATGAAGATGCGCAGATAAAAATTAAGAAATTAGAAGAACAAGCATACACATTGCAACGTCAGGTTGCTTGTCAAAAACAGGTAGATCACACTTACTCTTTTTATGGTTAATTTTCATTTTTATTTTTAATATACGCTATATATAAAAAAGATTAAAGTCTTAATTAATTAGAGAAGTAGAATTGATTATAAAAAATTTAGTTGGAGAATTATTTTGTCATTTATATTAAGCAATTATTTATGCAAATCATTACTATGGAAATTTTTTTATAATGTTAAAAAATTTTTGATATTAGGAAATATATGACAGAATCTGGTAACATACGTGAACGGAAATGTAACGTTGAACAGAATTGTATTTGGTTGCAGGAAGAGGAAGCACTTCTGAATGAAATGGAAGTGACTGGACAAGCGTTCGAAGATATGCAGGAACAGAACTCTAGACTCATACAGCAGTTACGTGAGAAAGATGACGCAAATTTTAAGCTCATGACAGAGAGGATCAAAAGTAATCAATTGCACAAACTTGCGAGAGAGGAGAAGGATGTATTGAAAGAACAAGTGTCTACATTAACGACACAAGTGGAAGCGGCCAACGTAGTTGTACGAAAATTGGAAGAGAAGGAGCGTCTTTTACAAAACTCTCTCGCCACGGTGGAAAAAGAATTAGCGCTGAGACAGCAAGCGATGGAGATGCATAAACGGAAAGCGATAGAAAGTGCACAATCTGCAGCTGATCTCAAACTCCATCTTGGTAAGATTTTTCATGCAAACGCAAAAACATCAAATTAAGATTTTGAATTACATAAATCTCTAATAAAATTTCTCACATAAATTTTTTAATCATATAAATAATGTATTAAGATGTTTATAACATATATTAGCTATTGTTATATTAGCTAGAAAAATAAATGAAGATAAATAATTTAATAAAAAATTAAATAATTACTTCTAAACAAGAAACTAATATAACTTATTGTTACAGAAAAATATCATTCCCAAATGAAAGAAGCACAACAAGTCGTAGCCGAGAAAACAAGTTCCTTGGAAGCTGAAGCATATAAAACTAAAAGATTACAGGTAATGATTAATCTTGCAGTAGCTAAAATATTTTTTTGTATTCTGAATTTTTTATATCTTTTTTTTTTAGTTAATTGAGTAGAATTAATTATAAAAGATCTATGAAAATTATTTTCTTGTTTATATTAATTAATAATTTATGTAAATCATTATGCAAATTTTGAATGCTAAAAACTTTTTAGTATTAGAAAGTAGATAATAAAATCTGATAGTATATTTGAATACCATCATTAATAGAACTCAATCATTGATAGAAATAAAATTTAATCTGAATTGCGTTGTAGGAAGAAATAGCGCAACTGAGGCGCAAAGTCGAGCGAATGAAGAAGATTGAGCTCGCTGAAACCCTGGATGAAGTAATGGCGGAAGAGCTGCGAGAATACAAGGAAACTCTAACGTGTCCGTCTTGTAAGGTGAAGCGGAAGGATGCCGTGCTCACCAAGTGCTTCCACGTGTTTTGCTGGGATTGTCTACGCACACGTTATGAGACGCGGCAACGAAAATGTCCCAAATGTAATTGCGCCTTCGGTGCCAACGACTACCATCGGCTGTATCTATCCACATGAAGAAGAAGATACTGACTTGAAAAATACGCCGCGGTGTAGAGTTATGTTTTGTAATATGTTACGTGAGCATTTCTCTTTTCTTTTTTATATCTTTTATTTATTACTCTAATTTTTTGTTGAATGACCATATGCAATATGTGATTATCCCTAAGTGCGTCGATAATGAATCACGAATTTTAAGTCCTTATTAAGATCATAGCACATGAAAGAAAAAGAATATAAGTCATAGAATTTAAGTCATAGATTTAAGAATCGCAGTCGAAAATTCAGGAGACTGGATAATCTATTTATTACTTTAATTCTATTACTTATATGTTTACATGTCTTATGATCTAATTTATAAACTATAAAAATCGATAAGTAAAGTGAATGATGAATGAATGAATAAAAGAAAAAGAGAGGTAAATAAGGAAGAAAGAGAAACAAAACTGGATTGTATTTTTAGTTGATACAGTACGGGCTGCAAGCTTTCAATTTTACAATGTAAGAAATGATTTATTAAATTACTCCTTGATCTCGTTTTTTAAATAAACTTGCGCGAGATTATCATTAACATCTACATACATCGATCGATCACTCAAATCAATGCCTTCTTAAATTCTTAAGAAGAATTACTGTCTTCTCAGTAATGACAATTTCCTGTTTAAAATGTCTTTTATAAGATAAAATAGAGATCACTGAGATCAAGTTTGTGTATCGATAATCATTAGGACATTAATAGCCATTGGACAAATTTTGAAACTATAAATCTAGATCACTAATTTAGTAATTATAACTGTATCAATTAAAATTGATTAATTGACTGACATAGAGTACGGTTGAGTTACTGTTACGAATGTTTGGAAGCATTTTTTTATCGGTCAATTAGTAAAATTCTTTTTTTTTCCGATTGATCAATCAAATACTTCGAAGCATTTGTAGCGGCAATTCGACCGCATCCGTATATTAGATTCAATTACTTCGAAATTCATGGAAGTATAAATCTGCTGAATGTGATTAATGTTCCGTCTGTATGTTCTGAACGTTATGCCTGATTAAGTCGTATAATTACTTTAATTTCATTTGAATCTTTATCTCTGAGTTGAGAAGTCTCGAAGAAGTGCTCTAATTATTTACTTTTGTCTTCTGAAAGTAAAGTAAATTCACTTTCGTGTTAACATTTGGATTCAACGATTAATAATTCATATGATAATCACGCTTATAGGTATTTATTTAATTAGAAGGATATAAATTTAGCAATCACGATCCAAATTCGCTTTGTCTATTGTTTATAATACGAGACAGGCAAACTGATTAATAACAGGAATGTTCTGTACGATAATTACTCGACATTATTCAATAAGAAACGAATTCTTTTTATTGATCGTGATATTTCTCATGATTTTCATCGAAATTGTCATTGGAATCAAGATAGAAATTAAATAAGATATATCCCATGGTACTTTTAAAATATCTTACATTATCTTATAAATATGTATTATTTTATTTAAGAACTGTAAGAACATATTTTTAAAAAGTCAAAAGAAAAGGGGGGATTATCAAATCAATATCTATAATATATATATATTGATTTGATTGCAAAGCATTAATATTAGCAAATGTTATTTTAATACTAAACTATCTATATTACTAAATTTAAATAATTTATTTCATTTGTAATTCAAATTTGCGCTCCCTAAATTGTTAAATATTTGATACTATTATACTAATATCGTATTATAGTATAAATAATTTTTGAATATTTTCACATGTATGAATGTTAATTACGAATGCGAGCATCCAATTTACATGCGTTTGTAAAAAAAAAGAAATGCGTGAATAATCTATTTCGATAAAAAAAAATGCGTCACTGTGTCAAAGCTGTGTTTCAACAGTTTATTTTGTAGATCTTTCACTTGAACATTCTGAACTAATTTTCCTTTTTAGATAAATTCTGATGTTGTAATAATTTGGAGAAATATGTCTTTTTGTCTTTTATATAGGAAAGTTTATTTAAATGCGTAAATGCGTTTATGAATTTGACTTCATTAAACATAAACTCTCTTTTCTTTATTATCTATTCGAAAAAAAACAAACGTTAGTCTTCTAACTCTTATAAAAGATAATACTTATTGGATCTATTTCAAATCTAAATTTACAATACTGCCTAAAAAAAATTTTTTTAATTACAATATGTAATTAATATATAATATGTAGAAGATAAAAATCGACAAAAAATTCTAAACCGTTTCTTATACTTTGAGACATTATTTTTCATTCTACTTAACACATTTCTGACACATTTATCTAATTTTGCTCTATAACGATATTTTTCGCGCAGACAAACTGAATCGAAAATATATATGTCAAAATAAGAAGCTGCATTATATAAGCATTACACCACACACATTTTCTTTACATTATATGATTAGTATCAATTAATTCTAATAGTTTTATATTATAATCGATGTGCACTGTAAAAAAAAAACATTTGTTGAAAAATTACATGAACAAGTGTAAAATTTATACAATTTATAATGAAACTGTATCTATACATGTATAGATTTTGTTGTCCATGTTATTTTACATAAATGTTATTTTTGATGGTGTACATATATAAAGCATAAATGAAATTGAAAATCGATTTGCAATAATTAATATAAGTGACAAAGAAAATTTTTCCGCAATCATATTTGGAAACGACTATAGTCTCTAATAATTCTCATTTTTTATTTTACAAAATTGAGAAGGAAGACATCTTAATCTCTTATTTTTGAACTAATTTAACGATTCTTAGAACATAAATTTAGGAAAACATTTCATTATAGCATTTAAAAGATATTGCTCTATTATTTTTTTATAATAGAATATAAGACAAAATATTTTTTTATTTTTTTCAATGTAAGATATAATATTTAAGATATAATTTATATTTAATAGTTTATTTCATAAAATTATCTTAAAAAATTTGATAAATTATTGATAATCATGATATTAATACTTATTATATTTATTAAATAATGTAATAAAAAAATTAAAAATAAAAATTATTTAAATTCAAAATTATCTTTA